GCACACACTAGAAGCTCCCGTTCACATCAGGGTTTCCCTCTTTCACAATGGAATCTCCCCTTCATATCACAGCCCCTCTTTACATCATAATCCCCCTTCACATCGGAGTCCTCCCATCACAACAGGAGCTGCAGTAGGGTGGCCACCAGCACCGGCCCTCCAGCTGTGAAACTACAAATCCCATCATGCATCTGCCTCGGGAATTCAGGCACTGCAAGAATCTTTAAGGGGCAGATCTTTTCATTGTCTAGTAAGCACTGTGCTAGTGGCTTTCAGGCGAAAGCTCGTTATCTCGGTTTTTCTATGTGACCGGCCGATGTTCTGAAATTTTAATGTAAGTTGCTATTTTTTAATAAATATTCATTGTTGGATGTACCGCACCATGAGGGTTGTTTTTTCTCTCCCACTACCCTAAATAAAACACTGATTGGGACCGTACAATATCGCTGTTGCCCACGGATGAGAGGAGCCGGCACCTGCCTTTAACAGAGAGCCGGGACCTCCACGGAGACTGCAAGGGACAAGCGCTGGAAAGTGCTCGATCTGCTGTCGGGTGTTTTCTTGAGGGAATTGGAACGGAGAGATTAGAAGCCTTCTGCTCCTGAGTGATTATATTACATATACTCACTGATTCTGGTGAGTACTGATTACCTGGGGGACGGTTAATTGGAAGATCGAACTTATAAGGACTTTATATTTATTTTCGTTTGCTTGGGGAATTGGACTCAATTGATTTTTATATTTTTTTTTATTTATTTAGTTTGCACATTCAGTTTGTCTTATTGAGTACTTTAGATCTAATTTATTTCATATCTATATTAGTCTCTCACTTTGCAATTAATTGTCATCTGTCAAATTACATCACAAATCAGAAGTTTGGAGGAACTATTTGCACCTTATCTGTACAACAGTTTTTCGTTAATTTTATTTTATTAACGGTTTGACTCAAAGGTTTGAGGATTTGTCACTTTTTTACCATTCACTTATGAGATAATTTTATAGTTAACATTTTTTTCACATTGTGTTGCATTGTATCCACGTAGAAGTCTATGCTCAGATTTATCAACACAAATGAGGTTTAGACACTTTGTTATCACTTGATTTATACATAGTTGTTTTGGATATTTTTTCATTGGGACGTTATTCACTTATATGTATATACACATATATACACCTTGAGGAGGTAACTAGTCCCCCAGTACGGTGGATATATATATATATATACCTTCAGAACAAGGCGATATATTAATATTAATTTATATTTTACACCTACTTTCTTACGGAATCCACCTTTGGCGCTGTGTTATCACTTGCACTGCAAGAATCTGTCAGCCACACGCATAATGGGATTTGTAGTTGCACCACAGCTGGAGGGCCGTAGTTTGCCTATCCCTTCTTTAAATCATAACTGCACTTTTAGGGTAGACCCTTTAGTTTTAGAGTTTCTGCAGGTTGCACACAAAAGAAATATAACTTTGATGGGGAGCCCATGTGTAGCACTGAAGAATATGGCAATGTAGAAACTAACCTCACCTTCAGACACAAGGGCATACTTGTTCCCCAAAGGTGACCATACGCTATACAATCTGATTGTAGATACAAGGCCCTGTCTGATTGGTTACAATTTAGATTTTTTAGGTTTGTCCTCATATTTCATAATCTTGGTAAATCAAAAGGGCCTTGTACAGAGATTGTGCAATCAGATTGTATTGTGTATGAACCGCGTAACACGCTGAGCTTTACAAGATAATTCACAAACAGTGCAAGGGCAAGGTCATCTTACAGCAGGACACTATACCTCACCTTTCACTGTGGAAGAATCACAATTGACCCACAACAGATTCAAGCTTGGATCTTGTTCTTAAACAGCGCCTCGAATCAGGGTTAGCACATCTAAATGACAAGGCCTCTTCTCTTATCAAATGTGCCATCTCCTC